GTTGAGTATTAGACATTTAGTTGAGTATTAGACATTTAGTTGAGTATTAGACATTTTGTTGAGTATTAGACATTTTGTTGAGTATTAGACATTTAGTTGATTATTAGACATTTAGTTGAGTATTAGACATTTATTTGAGTATTAGACATTTAGTTGAATATTAGACATTTAGTTGAGTATTAGACATTTAGTTGAGTATTAGACATTTAGTTGGGTATTAGACATTTAGTTGAGTATTAGACATTTTGTTGAGTAATAGACATTTTGTTGAGTATTAGACATAATCAGCAAAAACATTTAAACAAAACAAAACCAAATGACAAAGGGAAAACATTTTAACATAATTAAATGATCAGCGAAAGTTCAAAATCTGGAAAAATGTAATCGAGGTTTAATCTAGACAATACCAACCTTGGTAAAAACATCTAATATTTTTGTTTTTGTTTTTTAGTTGTCATTTTAAAGATTATTAAATTTAATTTTCCTACTTCTGTTTTTGTTCATCTTTTAATTGTTTCAGGGCTGATGATAATAGTATTTTTATCGAAATATTTAATATACTGAATTTTTCCAAGTTTGATTGAGATTGCTTTTATCTATCATCCTCCATCATCATCCTCCATCATCATCCTCCATCATCATCCTCCATCATCATCCTCCATCATTCATCATCATTCATCATCATCATCATCAAGCCCCTAAACTTTTTAAGTTTGTTTCATGGTTAAGTTTCAATTAGTTGTTCACTTCTATGTTTTTTCAAGTTAAAGATTTAAATTTCATAAAAAAAAATATTTATTTAGATCACTTGACGAGTTTTTGCAGCAGTACAAGGACAAGAGGAAACTAGCACATCTTAGGGATAAATTCATTCATTCATTCATTCATTCATTCATTCATTCATTCATTCATTCATTTATTTTCTTATTTATTTATTCACTAGCTAAAGTGCAAAAATGGCCCGTGTAGTTTTTAGAAAAAATCGAATTTTGAAGAAAAAACTTTTCGAATTTTATATCCTTTATTATAGGGTTATTTTTATATTTATACATATAATCATATACAAATATATTCATTTATTCATATACACATATATAGTATATACATCTACACATATATACACAGTTCAGTTTTTAAAAAAGAAAAAAGAAGAAGAAAAAAAGAGGAAAAAAGAAGATCAAACATACATTCCAATTTCCTTACAGAGTTAACTACCAATCTTGAGGAGGGTAGGGGGAGTGATAAGTAACGGGAAAGCTGTCCTCTCCCTTAGTTTATATATTAATGAGTGAATGTTCTAGAAGAATCAAAATTGACAAAATGCGGGAACTCTTAAACGCTAAACGACAACCGCAGGTTAGATTTGACCGCGCTTTTCTCCGTGTTTTTCCCCTTTTCTCCGTGTTTTCTGGGCTTTCCAAGATGGGGGGTTGAATCCGTCACTTATCTTATCCTATGTTTTCATTTTTTTTTGGCTAATTATAATTATTATTTGTAAAATAATTTTCCGCTATTTATTGAAAACATTTAAAGATAGTACCCACAAAGATTAAGACTTCAGAGACGACTTATTATGTTTTAATTTTTACAATTTTTTATTATTTTCAAATAATATTTAATATCTTGGTCGTTATTCAAGTCTCATTCTTTTTGAGTATCCCTGCTGTAGGCAAAAAAAACATGATTAAATAAATTGGGACGTATACCTGCAATAAATGTAAACTGGGACACTCTATAAAGTATGTTTTGTCGAGCTAGGTCAATTGCAAATCCAGTTGGGAAAATTTTAAAAAATATTAAATGTTGNTTGGGAAGAAGACATTAATTTATACGCCTTTTCCTTTATTTGATTTTTTTTAAATCTGAAGTTCATTCATTTTCTCCTTAACATTTTTTATAATTAAACAAAACCTCATAATAACTATTTATAACATTGTTATTTTATTTGGTTCGCAGTGTTTTAAAGTTTTTGGACAAATTCTCTCTTTGTCGAGAAGGTTGAAGCCTTTTTAGATTTAATTTTGTCCCGAGCTTTAGCTTTAGAGAAAATTTATTATTATTCAAATCTATTTATTGATCAAAAAAGTACAGGAACAAATAAAAATAAACTTTATATATATATATCAACGATATGTACATTTTGATTTTCTGATTTTGATAAATGTGTAGACGAACACAACAATAAACTATATCGGCAAAGATTAATAAAATAAAATAGCTTTAGAGAAAATTTAAGTCCAAAAACTTTTAGCACGTAATTTTATTAAACGTTTGTGTACTTGTCTTATTTCAATGGCTATTTCAAATAAGCTTTAAAACCAAGCAGAAGTCAAAATATAAAGTTAATTTCAATTTTATTTTCATTTCAATTGAAAAAAAGAACATTTTGGAAATATCCTAATTTTTTTAAAGAAAATCCGGGAACCTTCAAAACTTTATAGCACACGTGCTATAATGTATAGATAATTTAATTCACGATGAAGTGAGGAAGAATGAAGTACACAATGAAGTACACAATAGTTTATAAAATTTCTACTATTATTATGTTTAATTGTTTGTTTATTTATACTGGATGAAAAATGATTTAAAACCTTTGACTGAAAAAGAATGAGGTTTATACTAGATATCCTGACAATTAAGTTCCGGAAGTTTAAAGGGTACCCTTGTAAATCGGACACTACAAAGGATTACTTGAAAAACCTCTACATTCCCTTTAAAATGGGTTTTTATCTTCTTTCCCTTTTAGGTTGCACCGGCACGACCTGCTCCACCTATCCCCGGGCAAACGAGGGAAACACGCTTTTTAAATATTATTTTCTTCAAATCACACCAGGGGTGTTTATTTTCAATCTTATTTCATACTTCTCACAATAAAATTAATTTATATTCGTTTAAAAATAATTTATTTTCTCCAATTCAACGAATAAACCCTAACAAAATGATTTTTCAAGAAATTATACACCCCTTAATCAAACTTTTTGTAATGTTTTTATTTCTTTTATAGTTGTTCTTAGGTTTAACTGTATTTGTTGTACAGAATTATCCATAAAAGATGAGACTTGAAATACGACTAATCTATACAGAATTTACTTTGTCTTAATTCTCAAAATTCTTGATTTTCAACAGCTTTAGCTTGTTTCTTTCTTTCCATAAATTTTTTTATAACTTTATAATACCAATTTGAGCCGGAATACAAGATGTAACCTTTATATTGTTAAATATCCAGATTTTTGGGTCGTTATTCAAGTCTCATTCGTTGTGGGAGTACCTTGTATTTGTATTTTTTAGGGCACATGGAATTGATTTTGGAGATGACGGCGGAAAAGTCTGTTTTTTGTTTTGTTTAAAATGTATCTACATTTTAAGGCAGTGTGTCTTTTTTGTCAAACATAGGTCTATTTTGCGTGACATAAAAGAATGTCTACTTTAAGAGATTGTCTATTTTATTTCGACAAAGTGTCTAATTTGCTGACATGTTTCCATTATGTCAAAATTTTTATTAGAGTTTATATTTTATGACATGGAGTATTTTTTAATGGGTGGGAGTACATTTTCGGGATGTGTAGTCAACTTTAATGATTGATTGATTGCCCGTTTTCTTGAGGATTATTTCCATTTTGGGAAAGTTAGTTCATTTTGTTGACATTACAGTGGCCATGTTAAAATTATTAAAAACTCGTGTATGTTCCTCAACAGTGGTCAGAACTCGTTTCTTCCCTATCCAACCAGCGCAGCGGCCGGTTACCCCACCTTGCCCGGACCCGCCTACCCACCCGTGTCCCAGCCTGGCTACCCCACCCTGCCCGGCTACCCAGCCCGGCCCGCCTATGGTGTACCAGCCTATCCTCCCCATTCCAACCCTAGCTACCGTCTGCCCACCCCGCCATTCAGATAGAGCGGATAGATAGATAGTTCTCATATAAATTTGATAATTGATAAACAAATATTCTAGAATCTAAATTGTAAACAAACATTTAAATGATTCAAGTTTTTCTCTAATAACAAAGGAACTGCTGACCTAATTTTAGGCTAAAATTGTGACATGTCTGATTCACATGGCACCCTTTAGATTTATATACGAGGACGACATCGTCATTTTCATTTTTTGTTTCTGCTGTAAAAAGTGGTGAGACTTTATGGACATTGATAAATTTTTAGATAGAAAAATATGGATTTATCTTCATAATTTTTTATTCTGGTAAATGTAAAAGGGTACCGTGTTGGATTAAATTATTATGGAGGGTGATATGAAATTTCGTCTACAGTTCCTTTAAGAAAAAGAACCATTTTCTAAATATTAAAATGTATCAAAATTCATTTACTCTCAGATAAATTAGAACCAATTTAAATTTAAAATATTGTATTTTTAATTTTTCATATTTAATTTTTCTGAGAGTTAATGACATTCCTATATAAAAAGCTGGGTTAAACATGGACCTGTCTGTATAGATAAGTTTTTAGATTAACGGAATTAATTAAAATTAAAATTTGTTGCATACCAACAATACCAGCTTTTTTATTAAGGAATGTGTATTTAAATAAGTTTAAAAATTCGATATAAATTAAGATTTAATTTTCTATATAGAGTTTAGTATTTGATATTATATTAAGTTAGAGGGGTGGAGAAGCGGGCCGATGCCCCCCATAATCCTCCTTTTTTTGTATGGTGTCCATTATTGAATTTACTCGTATTTCAGAAAGAAAACTATGGAATATCTGAATGGTGTGTTTAGATATTTTGTTCGAGCTCTAGAATATGTTAGTCGTACGGAGGCAATCATACAACCGTGCGTAGCCCAGCATTAAGTGCTACAAGTGACATTTATGAAGATAATAAGTGCGACATGTGATATTTTCCAGAAGAAGTAAGTGCCAGAAGTGACAATTCTAATGATAAGTGAGTGATATATTGACATAGTTCAAGCTGAGAGAGTGAGTCATACTCTATAAAAATTTTATATAACATTTGATAAAGATGAATCCTTCAAATTTACAGCAGTTGAGACCGAGTTCTACTGCATCTACATCAAGGAATATATTTAGATCAATATTTGAAACACGAGTACAAATTCTAGGGGGGGGGTCAATTGAAGAAGTTAAAAAAACTAGTACATACAGAAACTAACGTAAATTGATAAAAAATCTAATTATAAAATTGTTAGTGGAATAAGTCAAAAACAAGATTTAACTCGAGAAAATAGTTCTCAAGGAGTAGGGAAAAGCCCCCCTGAAGTAGGGAAAAGTCTTCCTGAAGAGGGGGAAAGTCTTTCTGTAGGAGGTAAAAGTCCCCCTGTAGGGGAAAAAAGTCCTGTTTCAGGGGAAACTATGCTTCCGAAAAGAATTATCAGTGTAGAGAATAGGTCCGAGGAAACTACGGAAGGACGAACTTGGAGAATTGGTAAGAAACATGTTTTTAAAAAAAAATATTTGATGATATATAAAGTTATATTCTCTGTTTGTCTGTCTGTTTGTATGTCCAATTATAACTCATGAACTCCTTGACCGATTTGCCTAAACTTTTTAAAGCGGGAACTGTTGAGATTCTCCGTTTAGTTGGTCAACTTTCATAGGGATAAATCAACAAGGTTATAGCGTATAGAGTAATGATGTACGCTAATCCTTTACTAATTGTACAGGCCATGTACTCCAATTCTAATTACAAATCCAATGCCCGAATTGTAATGGTACCCTTGAAAGCTCTGTCTGATCAAGTATGAATTAGAAATCAACTTTTTTGTTTCTTTAATCTTTAATCATCAGAAATATACACTTTTCGAGTCGGCAAAAATAGACATTTTGATCAAATTAAGGTTAACAACGGTTTACAATATCCCTTTGAAATTACACTAATAGTTCCTTTGAGATAGTATTCAAATATTATTTTAGGTTCCCGCTCCGCCTCTCTGGACGGAGACTCTCCGGTTCCAGAAAATACATTCAGGTTAGAACAAAGGTATTTTCCATCCATCCGTCAATTAATCAATCAATCAATTAGCCATCTCACAGTCAATCAATTAATCAATCACTGGGTCGGGTTTCCTCACATCTATCTATCTTTCGGCCTTGATTTCTATGGAATAATAGTTGACCTTTTTATTTATTTTTATATCCAATAAATAATTAATTAATCAAATATTCAATTTATCAATGACTGGGTCTGAGTCCTTTTATGGAAACCTCTATCCAACGGCCTTGATTTCCATGGAATAATAGTGAACCTATTATTTTATTTAAATATCCATCAATTAATCAATTAATTAATCGAATATTCTATTAATCAATGAAGAAGAACCGATTCTTGCTTCGTCGAATCTTCATGGGAGGATGTATCTCTATTATTTAATCAATTTATTAATCAATCAATGTTTGAACTGGGTCTGGTTCCTGTATAGAAACATGTATTTACATAAATATATTATATATCCATTAATCAATAATTAAGAAAGATATCAATCAACTAAATCAATCCATCAATCAATGTAGAAGAACTGGGTCTGGTTCGTTCATGGGAGCATATGAGAGTGAAGAAGAGATTGTANTCAACTAATATATGGGTTAATATCCATCAATCAATGTAGAAGAACTGGGTCTGGTTCGTTCATGGGAGCATATGAGAGTGAAGAAGAGATTGTATTCTCTGGATTAAGTAACAGAAGACCAAGGTTTGTTATATTAAAAGCCAAGGGTTTATATGTTCTTTAATAATCTTCTCCCCATCCTGTTTTCCCGGTTCTTCTTTATTCATTTATTTGCTGGGAAAATATTAATATTTTTTAGGGGTAAATAACTGATTTTGGGGAGTGAAAAGTATCAAAAAGGGATAAAATCCTTGCCAGATTATGTCTAATTTACATCTTTGAAAATTATTCCTCCTTTTCAAAATTTTTACCCAAAGAAGGTCGTATTTTGTTGTTTTTAATCAAGTTTTTAAAGAAATTTTACGAATGTTATAATTTTTTAAAATAAATTTTTATTATTTTCATTATTTTCCTTTATTTAAAATGTTTTTATTTTATTTTCGTTTTTCAGTGACTCTGGGTTCGAGCCCCTAATTCTGCCGCCCCCAGGACCATCTTCAGAAGAGGAGAAAATTAAACGGAAATTAAAATTCTTCTTCATGAACCCCAGAGATAAATTTATCGCCACGTAGGTTTTTTTTTCATAAAAAAGGATAAAATTACGAAAATTCTAATTGCCAATTAAGAAATTAAAATTCAAGTGTACTCCCATGCAAAAATTACTATGCCCAATTCTCAATTTAAAGCTTTGTCTGATAAAGTATGAATTAGATATCAATGTTTATAATTTTTAAAACTGATTATTCTTAAGTGTGGTTTCTCCACAAACATGATTTGCGCATTTCTACTTCAGGAAATCATGAAGGAATTTTTACAATTAAACACTTGTAAACCTAGAATAACGACAATATTTTTACAGTATTGTTCGGATAAAGGTTTCAAGAAAAAAGTTGTAAATCGGGCCATCTTTGCATGAAGGGCCACTTGAAAGAATTGTTTTAAAATAATTAATATTGAGAAAATATAGAAAAAATAAGGATAGGTTTATAATTCTAACTATATGGAAGAAAAAAACTAATTTTTTTCTTCACGAAATCAAGAGCTACGTAAATGACTTCTTTGAAAAATAATGATTGAGAAAAATACATAAAAAATTTCCTTAACCTTTCAGGTACATTTGTTACCAACGGAAGTTATTTTTTTATGCAATAATTAGCAAAAATTTATTCAATATCGGAAAAAAATTTAAACTCTAAAATCAATCAATCAATCAATATATTAATCAACAGTTAATATTGCTCATTTTAGGCGTCAGATTCCGTGGAAGTTACTGTTACAAATAATTAAGGAACATTTTTCATTTCTTAATTTGATTAAGCATTTGAAAACCAGACAACTATAATTTACTGTCAAATTATACATTGGTCGAATCAGAATTATTCATCATTCAACATTTGTAAACTAACTTGTCTAATTTCAACCAATTCAACTTTAGGAAACCGAAAAAATGTGATTATGATGCCGCTAGGTGGTGCTGGTTACATTACAATTATGGATATTTGCTGAGTTCCGGTATGCTCATGTCAATTACTATTCAGATCAAACTGTTGCACTCGAGCATTTCTTTATTAAGGTAGGGAATTTTGGGATTTTGGAATTTTTTTGTAAAAAAAAAAACTATTTTAGCTTATTTGTGTTTACTATTCTCCACACCCTGTATTTTAATGCCTCTGATCTCACCCTGCTACAGTTTACCTGACAATCTCCTACCTCCCAATCAACTCCACCTATCCAAAAACATATTGTGAATTTAATGGACATATTCAATTATATTCATTATCGTTATCGAACTTAGGGCTAACCACTCAAAACAACCTACCCTGGGGAGGCGGGTCCAAACTATATTCATTATCGTTAACTAACTTAGGGCTAACCACTCAAAACAACCTACCCTGGTTAGGCGGGTCCAAACTGCATAGTAAATTGTGATTGCTTACTTTTAATATTTCATACTTTGTAAATATATATGAATGAATTAACTGCTTAGACCCCACAGCTAGTGGTGTGCATTCCGTTAGTTCGTTTTGGAACCTTATTTGCCTAATTAGGTTGAAAATTTGGCATGGTGTTAGGATAACTATCTTTTTCAAAATTGTTTATTCTTAACATGTGCTTTTCTTACATTATGCCTAATTTTGACCCTGACAGACAAAACAGGCAAAAAACGAACCAAAAACGAAACAAAAACATCGTTTTTAGAACTTAAAAAAAAAATTGATAAAAATATTCTTAAGTGTTTTTTAACTAAACCTTGAATAATAACCAGACAGTTTTGAAATCTTGGAAGTTATATTAAAAGTTTTCAAAAAAGTATCTCAACCGATTAACGAAACTACCCGCAGCCATAAAAAGCTTTCCTTCGTTTTACCCCGATTGGAATCTTCAGTAGATAACAAAAACTACTACCGGGTCATAATAAAAATGAATCAAAATGAACAATTGAAAGTTTATTTTTATAATTTAGGCTGAATAATTAAATAATACTATTTTTGTTCAGGATTGGGATCAAGTAAGAGAAGTGCATGCCTACCCTCCATGTAGGACTTTTTATTATTTCATATTTTAAAAAAATTCTAATTGCTCAAAATACAAAATTTAAAATAATATATGTTTTATACTGTTGAAAAGAAAAAAGGGAATATACCCCTTTACTAACTATTGATTTTTTTTAGCGACTGGAAAAATGGCTTTCTACAAGAAATCTGAGTTCTACGATTTTCTGGATAATGCCATCATTGCGTACAGGTATAATTTTTTGCATACAGGTCAATCAGTATCGCGTACAAGGAAAACATTATTGCGTTCAAGTAAAGCATATTGGATATGGTGTGGGTAAATTAACAAAAATTATTAAAATGTTATTTTTTATCAAAATTAATTACATTTTATTTTACTAGCTTAAGAACCCAGCGGTGCTCAGGGTACTCATAGTTACTTCCGCCGTTTACCCGCACTTGGTCGTAAATTATGATTTTAGCTATTTTTCCCAAACAACACAGTTTAGAATATCAAAACCATCCTAAGATCATTCCCGTGGTTATCCCGAGTTCCCAAATCAAAATTTGAGGATGGCTTTCTACAAGAAATCTGAGTTCTACGATTTTCTGGATAATGCCATTATTGCGTACAGGTATAATTTTTGCATACAGGTCAATCAGTATCGCACATGTCATGCTAACTCTGTGACCCACGTACTCCTAATGGAGGCAGAGGGTTGCCGGGAGGGGTGGTTTCCTGGTAACATTTGTGTTATTGGGATGTCATAATAGATAGATAGATAGATCGCGTACAAGGAAACCATTATTGCGTACAAGTAAAGCATATTGCATATGATGTGGTTATTAACAAAAATCATCAAAATGTAATTTTTTTATCAAAATAAATAACATTATTATTTACTAGCTTGAGAACCCAGCGTTGCTCAGGGTACTCATAGTTACTTCCGCCGTTTACCCGCACTTGGTCGTACATTATGCTTTTAGCTATTTTTCCAAATAACGCAGTTTAGAATCTCAAAACCAGCCTAAGATCATTCCCGTGGTTATCCCGAGTTCCCAAATCAAAATTTGAGGCAATTCGTTCGAGGGGTTCATTGGACATTGGACATTGGACATCCAAACAAACAATCAAAGATTACAATTAATAGATGACGGTTTGTGTTTAGGAGTATTGAGGATGAAGCTGTTGGACCTTTCTTTAGAAATTCAAGTATTCAACTTTGCATTCAGCAATTCAAGTAGAACATCATTAGTTTATTAGATTATATAGTTCATTGATTGATTGATTGGTTTATTAGATAAATTAATTAGTTTATTAGATTTTTATTAGATTATATAGTTCATTGATTGATTGATTGACTGATAGATTGACTGGCGCAATTATTGATTGATTTATTTATTGAATGATCGTATAATTAATTGTATGATTTGTTTGACTGATTGATGAATTGTAAGATTGATTGATTATATGATTGATTCATTGATTGATTCTTTTATTGATTCATTAATTTATCGATTGTATGATTGATTGATTGTATAATTTGATTGATTGTATGAATTACTAATTGACTGAATTATTGATGGCTTTATTGCATGATTGATTAATTGTATGATTAATTAACTGTTTGATTGATTGCATGATTGATCGTATTATTGATTGAGCGTATGATTTATTTTTTAATTTATGGTATGATTGACTTGTAGATAGATTACTGACTAAGTGATTCAATATTTTTTTTTATTGATTATTGTATTATTAATTAACTGTATGATTGAGTGTATGATTGATTATTGTATGATCGAATGATTGATTGTTCGGTTAATTTGTTGATATATTGATTGATTGATATATTAGAACCGGAAGTATAAAGAAGGATCTCCAGGTTAAACTGGATCGAGAAGAGAAAACTATTTGCCTGGAACTCAAGGTAAAGATGAGGTCCCGCAAAAAAGTTCTAAGGTCATAATTTACATGTGAAAAAAGCACTTATCAACAACAATGCTTGATCTCAATATCCACCACAGAATTTTATGAGTGGAAAAAATTGGTTCAACCATGTTTGCATAAATGAACTAATTCTTTAGTGAGCCTAGTATGCTTTAGATTTTAGCCATTCCTAGTTCAACTAGTTCCCGCCATTCCCAAACCGCAGATGTTTTGAAAAAGTTGATTTAAATTAATTTTTAAATGTATTCAGGAAAATGAACTGGATGGATTCAAAAATAGCTCAACTTGGTTCCATCAGAATAATTTCACAATGCCATGGCATGCTTTGCAGAGGTATCATTATTATCAGTGTTTTCATCATTATCATCATTATCATCATCTTCATTGTTTTCATCAATATTATCATTATCATCATTATCATCATTATCATCATTATCATCATTATCATCATTATCATCATTATCATCATTATCATCATTATCATCATTATCATCATTATCATCATTATCATCATTATCATCACTATCATCACTCATCATCACTCATCATCACTCATCATCACTCATCATCACTCATCAGTCATCATCCCTCATCATCGTCGTCGGCGGAAAACAGCGCTGCGAGTACCTCATTTCCTAGGGCTACCCCCAGCCTTGACGCATGCAGTTTGTTGCCAAGACCAGCTACGTACAAGGCAAACAGCATTGGTGAAATCATTATCATCATTGTTTTAATTATCATGTTTAGTATAGAGTTGGCAATGAATCTGACCAGTGTAACTCTGAAACCTCTTGGACCAGTTCCTACACCAGACTGCTTTAAGTTGAAGGTTGTGATCAGGTAGGTGCACAGTGGTATCCGAGAAGGATAAGTATGGGTTGATAGTGGTTAATGAGGAGGTTAGAATCAGGGGGGGTCCACAGTGGTATTCAAGAAGGAGTGAAGGAGTAAAGGGATTGAAGAGTGGTTTATTAGGGCCTAGGGCAAGGGTAGTGTATAATAATAAAAAAGGATTTTAACTGTGGTATTTTTTCATAAAATTCTCCAGAAACAAAAATAATGGATAATTAAATATAATTCTGAATGACTGATTAAATGTTAAGATTGGATAACGCCGGTCATGACGGGCAACTTCCGGTCAAACTTAGTATGGTTCCGGTCAGATTAGACTGCCCTTCAGAGGAAGAAAGGTATTTTGTATATTTTTCTATATCTCTATCTATATATTTGTATTTGTAGTTGTCTCTCTAGATATATTAATATTTCTATATTTCTATCTTCTGTATATTCTATATCCACCGATGGTACCTACTTGACCCTCTAGATTGTGTAGGCTGTTGGCTAGGGTCCGTGTGGAACAGAAGGGGATCTTTCATCTTCTGTTCTGATGACAATCTGGGGATTCTTATTCTTATATCTTTATCTATTAATTTATCCATCTCCCTAACTATCAATTAATTTAACTATCTAACGATCAATCTACCTATCTATGTATCTATTAATCTAAATATCTTTCTATCAAACTATCCAATATCCATCTAAGTATCCAGCTATATATCTATCTATCTGTCTAGTTCTTCGACCTACTCCTCCCTGGTTGTGAGTCTAAACCTTGTCGTTATATTTCTTTGCCTGAGTTCCCTCCTGCTCTGCCTGCGCGCGCTCCTACGGGCGCAGATTCTCAAGCACGAGACAGATGCGTTCTTCAGAAGGTGCGTGCATGTTTACTTTTGAATACTTAAAGGGGCAGTATGGGTAATTTCTAGTGACCCTCCATGCAAAGATAACAATGACAGATTTACAATGGTTCCCTTAAAACCTTGATCTGATCAAAAATGTGGAAGAAAAATCGTTTTTTTAGTCTTAAAATGCTTAATTCAGATAATTTCTCCAGTCTTTCTTATAAGCAAGAAAAGGTGCTAATCACAGAGAAACCATAAATGAAAATAAACATTTTTAAGAAAGGAAAACATAGATATCTAATTCATATTTGATCAGACAAAGCTTTCAAGGTTATTGTTGTAAATCGGGCATTGTCATCTTTGCATGGAGGGTCACTTGAAATAAATTAAGGGTTTACTAGCTGAAGTGCCCGGCGGTGCCCGTGGAAGTTTAAAAACATGTAACCCCCAGGGTATCTATATGCTTTCTAAAATAATTTTAGCCAATAATTGTCCAACTGTTTATTTATTTTTTATATATATTATATATATATATGAGCGAAGAGCTTTATTATATTGATATAATTTCTACAAAAACGATTTCATCTTTTTTTTTGCTGAACTAGGGAATATATTTGATTTATCAAAAAATAATACTGTCCTATTTTTCATTTTTTCCTGGCTTGTAAAGAAATATGAATGGAATGGAATAACTACAGTATTTATTGCTTTCATTTATTTGACAGCCCAAATCTTTATTTTGAATAATCTTTTTTGTTTGTTTATTTTCTTGTGAGTTTTAACAAAAAAAATTTTTTTTTCGATTTTGAAGGTTATTTTATCGTTAGAACTGACGAAGGTCAACCCAGACCGAAATATATTTTCAATAAATGTGGGTCTAACATCTACTTTTTTACTCACCATCACCGAATTTTAAGTTTTATTTATTGTTTGCTTTTTAAGGAATTATGATTGGTCGCTGTCTGTCAATGAAGGATTAGAGTTCCTCAATCTTTGGTGAGTTGAAACTTTCCGATTTTATAAACATTTTGACAAGGTCACATTGTTCAAATTTTGGCAACGCTCGGTCCCACCGTTTACTAGCTGTTGCACGCAGATCATAACATTCCTACCAAGCTTACCAAGTCAATCATTCCACTGTCAGCTTAGTTTTTAAATTTTCAACTAGTATAAAATTTAAATCAAATCAAATAATATTTTACAGAGACTGCTTAAGACTCATCCTTCGTTTTGTTTGTTTTAATCAATCAATAACTTTATTAATCATTATCATTAAACTATTAATCTATTTGTCAATCAATAAATCAATTAACTATTTTTAATTATTTTATAACTCAATTAACGTTCTAACAATAAATCAATTAATAAATTATCAATTAACTTAAATTTAATCAACTATTTATCAATAAATCAATATATCATTTATCCATTGAACATCTATTTCAGCAATCAATCAATCAATCAATGAATCTAGGTATGTGATGATCTGTACAAATGACTGCCTGATAGTGCTTGGATCAATAATCAAACAGTTGATCGAGTCTAAATCTGTTATAGGGGATATGTGGGATATTTGTAGGTTTGTATTTTTTACAACAAAGCATTATATTCTAATAAAGACAAAAAAGATGATAAAAGAAGATTAAGACTGTTATGACTATATAGAATTGAAAGATGTTGAAGACGGTAAAGAAGATAAAGACTATATAGATTTTGAAGATAGAGACGATAAATGATAAAAACGAAACATAGTAAAAAAGATAAATATTGAAAGAATACCGATGTTAAAGACAATAAACAATAAAGATGAAAGAGTTGCTAAAGACGATAGAGACGATATGATGACAACTAAGACTATGAAGATGATAGAGACGTTAGAAACAGCTAGAGACACTAGAGACATTAGAAACGCTAGAGACGTTAGAAACGTTAGAGACGTTAGAAACGTTAGAGACGTTAGGTTAGAGATGTTAGAGACGTTAGAGAGGTTAGAGACGTTAGAGATTTTAGAGAAACGATATTAGAAAATTGATAATAAAACCGATAAATATTGAAAAAAATAAAGACAAATAACAAAAAAGGCAATAAATAAGATGAAGGCAACTAAGACAATGTAGATGATAAGATGGTATGAACAAATTTCAAACAATTCTCTTTTCTAGTTTACTACTGGGTACTGGCAACCTTCTGGTTTGGTTTGGATTACTTAGATATTTAGGATTTTTTAAGGTAATATATTTTAAATATTTTTTCAACCACTAAATCTTCATATTTTTGGAAATTATCAAAATCCTCTAATTTTAGACCTACAACGTGTTGATATTGACAATGAAAGGGGCAGCTCCCAATATGCTGAGGTTCCTCATTTGTGCTTCCTTCATATATATCGGGTAGGTTAGTTTTATTAGTTCTGTTTTTATTTTTAATATCTAAAATAGCCCCCTCATGCCTTACCAGAAATCATTTTTAATTTTACTTGATTGTGTTTTTTATGTTATAAAGATGTTGTTAGCAAAGAGAATATATATTAGAGGGGAATTTACTAGAAAAAAGTGTAAAACGGCCATTTTGTTGTACTGTTTCCATACTGCAGGTGTACTTTACATATTTGTGCTATATAACCTTTTGGGCCCTGGAATATCATTTTATAGAAAATCTAAAATTAATATTAAAAGAAAACCAAATTATAAAAATAGGTTGGTTTCATAATTGACCAATGATCATTTCACATAGACTCTATGCCTTTCACTTTACAAACTATGATTTTCCGTTATATCTATAAATCAAATGATGTTTTTTATTCACCTAATTCATTATAAAGTTTATTTAACAGCTTTAAACAATTCGAAATTGAAATGAATAGTCTAGGGAACATACTTTATTAATGTACTCTACTGCATATAATTTGTGAACATTTACATGATTTGTACACTTTGAACTCCCTTTCAGGCTGAAAGGGACTGAAAAAATTCATACCGAGGGATTGTCTAAATTCCACTCTAATATATATTCTAATCTCTTTGGTTGTTAGCCACCATGTAATGTTTAGACAAACAATGGAATTTATCAGGTTACAGGGTCCGGGGAGAAAACCCTTTTTTTAATTCCCAGAGAACCAATACTTTAATAATGATTGACTGATTCATTTATTAATTGCCAAATTTATTTATTAACTGATTGACTGAATAATTGATTGATTAATTGATAAACAGAGTAGTGACAAATGGTTTGATTGACTGTTGTATTTACTATTTTTAGATGATTTACTATGTGAATGATTCATTGATTGAATGATTTATTTATTTATTGATTGTTTGTTTATAGGTTTGTATTTGCTGGATGGGTCATCCTTGGTCCTTATCATTTCAAGTTCGAATCCATCATGTCAACTTCAGGAATTCATATCTATCTATCTATCTATCCATCTATCCATCTATCTGTCTGTCTACCTACCTATCTATTAGTTTATTCGTCAATCTATCTATCAAGCCAATTATATATCTATCTATCTATTTACATTTCTCTAATCATGCCAACTAAAGAATATTTGTCTGTTTATCTATCTGCTATTCTGTCTATCTACCTACGTACCTACCTATCTATCCATCTATCCATTTATATAACTATATATCTATTTATCCATCTATTCATCTATCTATCTATCCATCTATCTATCACTCTATGTATTTATCTATCCATCTAGAATTTAAATAAATATGAATTGTGCAGAATGCCTGTTTTCACTGATCAATGGAGATGATATGTTTGCAACTTTCATGTCAATTCCTAGAGAAGTAAGTTCATTTTTTAAAATTTAAGATAATCATTTTAAGCTATTTCAGCTTCTACTATGGTGAGAAGCGTCGAATTGAATGATGGGTTCTCTGCTAATAAGAATAATAACGATGAAAAACACTGAATATTTTACTAAGAGCTTCTGAAAGTGGGATTATAAAATAGTAAACGGTAGGGAAGTAGAACAAACCCTAAAGGTCTGATTTGCTATGAGTTGATTTGAACAGGAAACAGTTAGTAAAATAATGTGAAATGATTAATTATAGGTTAAAAATACTTGTCAAAATTTTAGAATTTATATAATTTTGAAGAAACAACTTTCAAGAATAAAAATTAATATTTTATTAGTTATTATTATTATCTTTTTTATAATCATGATTATTATTATTATTATCAATTCTATTATTATTATTATTACAGAGATCTGTGTCTGTATGGGTGTACAGCAGGGTATACTTGTACACCTTCATCTGTTTGTTTATCTACGTTGTTCTCTCCCTGTTTATCTCAATCATCATGGATACTTACGAGATCATTAAGAACTGTTACGAGAGAGGATTCCCGGCCAATAGGTAGAGCACGACAGGACAGTACCGTACGATACAGTGTACAAGACAGTATGGTACAGTGCACAGGACAGAATGGTACAGTATACAGGAAAGTACGTTAAAGTGCATAGGCCAGTGCTACATTGCACAAAACAGTACAGTAAATTGCACAGGACAGTACGGTACCATGCACAGGGCAGTACAGTACGGTACAGTGTACATGACAGTAAGGTACAGTGTACAGCACAGTACAGGATAGCACTGTACGATACAGGTCGGAACATGAAATGCCAGTGTAAATGACACTACGGTACAGTGTACAGGACAGTACAGTATAGTGTACAGGACAGTACGGTATAGTGTACAGGACAGTACGGTACAGCGCACAGCACAATACAGGACTGACGAGACAGGTCGAAATATGAAATTTCAGTGTAAAGGACAGTACGGTAAAGTGTACAGGACAGTACGGTACAGTGTTCAGGACAGTACGGTACAGTGTACAGGAAAGTACGGCACAGCGCACAGCACAGTACAGGACTGACGAGACAGGTCGGAACATGAAATGCCAGTGTACAGGACAGTAAGGTACAGTGTACAGGACAATGTGGTACAGTGTACAGGACAGTACGGTACAGTGTACAGGACAGTACGGTACAGTGTACAGGAAAGTACGGCACAGCGCACAGCACAGTACAGGACTGACGAGACAGGTCGGAACATGAAATGCCAGTGTACAGGACAGTGAGGTACAGTGTACAGGATAGTACTTGAAATTACATCAACAGTCGACAGTCTCTTTTAAATAGAATCTTGTTTATTAGACATGAATATTGTTTAGATTAGAACAGTTCTACTGTACTTCAGAATTCGACTTCAAGAGCGGTCAATATCAGGTAAACTAGGGTTCTCTCACAAATACGAAATATCATTTTTTTTCTTCATTTTTTCTTTATCTTTTGGTTCCGCCTTGAGACTGTTGTTTTAAAGATAGAGCATTTTACTTTTTATGTTAGAATAATAGTTTTATGTTAGATAATAGTAATCCTGAGGGTACTTCGCGGCCATCTTCAATTTTATTTTTAAATTTTTTATTTGTTTTCTAAAACTATCAAAAATAAAACAAATAATTTATCGATTTTTTTGGTGGATTTTGAAAAATCTAAATTTGTTATGGCAAATATTTAAAATTCTTACTTTCCATAACCCTTCCCCGGGGTCATTTAAGGTCCCATGAAAAATTACAGACCGTTTTGAGAACGAAAAAAAAACATACAAACTAAGTATATTTTCAAAATAAAACTGTATTTCCTGGTCGGCCACAACGGGGAGGATGAATGAAAATGTTTAACCTATTTCTAATTTTAGGGAGAATCTGTTGTCACAAGAGTTTGGACTTTACTCAGGAATATCCATTGATCAATTTATTAATCAATCATTTTTTAAAGATGAACAGATATTTTTGTTCACTAATTTTTATTTTAAGTTGCTAAAAATAGATTACAACATAGATTACAAAATAGATTACAAAATAGATTGCAAAATAGATTACAAAATAGATTACAAAATAGATTACAAAATAGATTACAAAATAGATTACAAAATAGATTACAAAATAAAAAATTGCCGATATTTTTAATCCATCAAATTACAATAATATTATTAACTGAATTTAATAAATTGTAATTGTTGATGGGTATCCTAGGACGCATATTCCTTCACCTCGCTCACGTGCTTATGAACAAATCAGCTGATTCCTCGTTTAGTTTGTGGATGTTCGGCATTATCCACGGAACTTTGGCATAAACAGCTGATTACAAAAATAATCAGCTGATTACAAAAATAATCAGCTGATTTCTGTCTTTTAGCCATCTGATCATGAGATAAAAGCATAAATCTGCCAACCCAACAATTCTGCAGAACTAAATATGCTAAAAAAAAGTGACCAAAACTAATTCAAGAGCTTCCAAATTATTCCATATATATATTAACTCATTATTGTGAAATGGTAAATTTTCTCTTCCTTTTTGATGCCCAAAATTCATACCTAATGTAACGGGTAAATGATTTTTAGTCATAAAACATATACCACTGAAATATATATAAAGGGTTACCCACAAAGGATGAGGCTTCAGAAACGACTATACAGTATTATGATGGACTCTCTATATTAATGATTTCCTTCAACTGAAATCGTGTTTCTTTCTTCTCCATATAGTTAATAAGCTATTAAAGACTATACTTTTACTTTCGGATTGTCATATTTTAAGACTTTCAAGTCGTCTTTACAGTCTCATCCTATGTGGGTAGCGCTTTATATATATCGGAATTTTTAACTAAAAGGGAGGGATTTTTAAAAAGAACTCCTGGGAAAATTCTTATTTCCACTTAATACTTCATAGGAACCTTTCTGTTTATAAAATACTCGGTATAAAATGTACATAACCCAATTTACTTGTATGTAACAGTGTTAGAGAGTGTATATTGTACATAACCCTTGGGCGTGTACGCTGTACACATAGCGCTCGACAGTAATTTAAAATATGTAATTGTAAATATAATTATCATTTGTGTTGATTTAGCAAATTCAATTAAAATAAATTAAAAATGAATTTATCAGAAATATTTAAAAACAAAATTTGTGTGGCTCGGAAGAGGAACTATCTGGGCTCGGACGGAAATATGGGGGTGCTCGAATGTTGAGGGGGGGGGGCGGCTTCCTGGAAGTAATAGTTGACACTCTTCCACCAGAACGACCTGAAGGCTGAATGAAGTACGATACTTAAAGTTGTAAATCTCGGAATAAAACATTGATCTCCTTCTTATGCAGAGCCACTAAATAATGAAATACCTTTTTGATATCTCTTGGTGGTCATATCCTGCAGGGATAACCTAGATTGAGGGAATAAGCATTAACCTTCTAATTCTAAAATTTAATGCATTCTAAATCTACGAAACTCCATATTTAAGTTCTGACATTTTAATAGCGAGCACCTAACTTTGACGGATTAGGTTAACTAAGAGAATATTGTTTTATCAAGCCAAAAATAAAGATTGTGAGATCTGGGTTATGTCTGTGCGGTTCAACTACATACAATTCTTGCTTTTAATTAAATTTAATATCCAGAGAGCTTTTAATTTCACCCCCATTTTCTCCAATTAATGTACAGTCTCCTATTTTAAGGCAAATTGTTTCTTATTTTAAATAAAGAGGATCTTATAAAATGGGATAATCGCAAAATTAAATGACTTACACAGGCATACCAAGCTCTAGCTCTAGTCATGTTGGTCGTTATTGTTTTTTTTTTGCCAATATTTTCTTTCAGTGTTAGAATTCATTGTTGGCTTAGTGTTTATTGTTTATTCTAAACATTTGATGCTCCTTAACTATGCTAAATTCTGACCCTGCCAGAAAATATATGCAAAAAACGAATCAAAGTTTTCCATTTTAAGGACAAAAATATTGCAACGTTAAACTTCAACAGAAAACAGTTTTAAAATATTGGAAGTTTAAAAAAAACGTACCATTAAGCTAAGACCGAAGTTAAAGAATATGGTTGGTTCCACTTAAAATCGTATTGAATGCTTCAAGTTCAAGCCGGCGCTCAGTCGAAATTGTTTTTTTGGGGGATTTGAGACGCGGTTCAAATTCGGACTCAGGACGATTCACTACACGGTGTGCACTGTGCATTGAGCATGCAGAACCATCTTAAGATAATTAAAAGTCAGGTTTATAAATTATAAGAAATACTGAGATTTTAAAGGAATTGTCGGCGTAATTTTAAAAATCGAATCATTTTTAGAGGATCATATTGTTAGATAAACTCCTAACATTTTGTTCTAAATACCGAACTATCACAAGCTTCTTGAAATTACGAAAATGTTGTTACAAATTATTAACATGTTGGGGAAATCTTACTTTCTTTTCAAAGTTAAAAAAAGTTATGGTTTGCAGTTCATGACTGATTCACAAGTTAATTAAACCTACATCTGAGTAACATTGAGGAAAATATCATCGGTTTCCTAGAAAAGTGTTAATTAATAGTTTCCTTCTTTGTCTCGTCTCCAAAAATCAACAAGTTATCATTTCCAGATAGAAAAACTAGGATATCTTTCTGATTTTATCATATAGCGATCATGTTAAAGAGTACCGTTGTTACTATGATTTGTGGCATAAATTGTAAACTTATAAAAATATAAAATATTTAAATACCACCAACATGAAGCTCTACAATGCTCCCTATGATCATGATCACCTTTATTTATCAATAGTACCTTATTCTTATTTTCTAACCAATTAAGATTTAAACAATTCAATAAATGTTAATAAATAGCCTTAATTTATTACGCTGACTTTTATGTCAACATAATTATATAACTTTTAATAACATTAAATGTTAAAACATTTATTAAGTTCTGTTTAATGCATTTTCGAGTTTAACCAAACTCTTAAACTGGTTTAAATTCTGAATTTCATTCAGGGACGACTGAACGGAATTTATTTACTCTTCTTTCTCAAATCCCTAGTAACCTACCACTACTGCACACTTGTCTCTAATTTTGCCAATTTTAACATTTTTTAACATTTATTAATTACAAAAATCCACATTCTACCCTTAGATCGTCATAATTAAAGGGTTTTATGTTTTCATTAAAGTCTCATCCTTTGAAGGTGTCCATTTATAATAATTGTATCTATTTACACTATGTAGCTAACTAGCCGCGTCGTCACGTTCCACTAGACAGAAGAAAGGTCAACATTTTGTGACCTCGTAACTCCTCTTAGTTTTCATTTTACGCACAAGTCTGAGAAAGGTAAATTTTTCTGGTTATAAATCAGAAATTCAAAAAAAAATTTCAAAGCGAGAAGCTATGATTGAAAGATTGTTGATTTAATCAAACGTAAATTTTACCTAAACCAGTACATCAAATGAATCAGTCCCTTCTAGGGAGACTTATGTAATTTGTGTAAATCATAAAGATTTTTTAAAAACTAAATCACACTCCATATATATTTTGGAATAAAAGATTACATCAACTACTAATGTTACAATTAATATCATTATCTAAAGATTATGTATAGACATGATTAAAAATTGATAAATAAGTTTAAATAACCTAACTTAATAAATTAAAGTAAATTGTCCGTTTGTCTGTTTGTTTGAACCCAATAAACGTCAAAACGGCTGAATCGATCGGGCCCAATTTTATGAGGGATCTCACATGGTTCCAGGAAAGGTTTATAAATGATCAAAATTTCAAAAATTTGCCTCCAACAAAAATTGACTTTCATTAATTTTTTATAATTTTGAAAAAAAAAATTTATGAAATCCGCGAACTTTTTTTGTTTTTTTTTACAATATACACAAAGAAAACATGTACACAATTGAAATAATAGATGGACACGAAGTGCCCTAAAAGGTCTAATTAAACTTTATTCTAAACTAAAAATTTTGTCTAGAAAATAAATAAAAATATTGGATTCAGAAGTTTTAAAAAGCGTTACACAAGTGTGACATTATACTAAAATAAAATTAGAAAGGAATATAAGGCTGCTTCGTTGAAGCCAAATCGCACGATTAATAAATCCTGCCAGGTGGATTTAAGGCTAGATTATCTACCCTAGTGTTTCATTAGAGGTGTAAATCGTGCTATTAACGTTAATGCCGCGATGTCTTAATAGCAGGATAAATAAATAATTTATTAATCGTAGGTTTATCCTACGATTAAGATACTTGTCTGACGAAGTGGCCTTAAGTCTTTGCCACAAACTGAAATTTTTAAACCCCTATAATTTTGCAATCTGATAGTGTAAACCTTTTATATTTTAAAATTAGATTATTTGATCAAACATAATTCATAGTTTGAAATATAAGAGGAGGAGCGGGGAGTGTAAACTTAAAATATGGTTTTGCATTACGAAACTCAGATTCACATCAGTTTAACTTAAAATTATTTATCTGAGCAAAACAGCGATAGGGAAAATGTCGTGGTTTTTCGATAATTATAGAGATTTAGTCAAATTTTCAATTTCCTTTGGTTTCTGCGGCCTAAATACACGTTACTTAAGGAAATGCATTTTTCTAGATTAGAGTGAAACAATGAAACTTGATTTTTGAACGGACAACTTTTTAAAGGGTACCCCTGACACAAAACCCTTTGAATAAAGAGGCACTTGACAATTCGGTGACAGTCCCTTTAAGACCGAATTTTAGGATTGTATCATTCTGGTTGATATTTATTATATAAAGGGACTGTAAACAAAATTTCAAGTAACCCCATACATCCATATCCAGTAAACACAAGTCAGATTTAAAATGTTTGATTTTAGTTTTCAGTAGTTTAAAAAAAAACCTTTTTTTATAATACCATTATAAAGTGTCTTAAACAAGTTTTTTTTTAACTAGTGTTTTTTTACACCATTAAAACAAGATTTTTAACTGGTACATTT